TATGGTGTTACAATAGTGTTTTGCACACTTCTTAGTGGAGAGATTTTAAAATATATTTCTATAGGAGTTACTTTTACATATAGGGGTTATCAGAAAGTTTGTACATGTGTTTCCAGAGGTTTTCTGTAGGGGTTACTTTAGGGTTTGTTTAGGGGTTTCTAGAGGGGTTACTTTTACATATAGGGGTTATCAGAGGGGTTATTATACCAGGGGTTACCAGAGGGGTTACCCTTATATCTAGGGGTTAGCTGGGGGGTTACCCTTATATCCAGGGGTTACCAGAAGGGTTACCTTGTGATAACTCTTAAGTAACTCTTCTGTTAAACTTGTAGTAACTAGTGTGTGCTCTGTGGTAACCCTTGTGTTCATTACTCTCTAGTAACCTTTTATCTAGATATATATGTTAAAATATAATACCCTTGTGTTACTTGTTGGTTTTATTTTGTGTTATATATGTTTTATGTTTTACTATTAGTATTTAACATAATTTCATGTTTTAAACAGATGTTCAAGGAGTAGAAAAACAAGAAGTTAATTCTGCTCCTCTTGATTTTGCTGCTGCTGTTTCAGTCTTACCTGAGTCTACTTCTACAGTTAATGAATGTAGAAGTTAAATTGTTTATTCTTCTATGGAGGTCAATCAGGATGATGATTCTAAGGAATTTAAGGAGTTCAATCAGGATGATGATGACTTTAAGCTACTTTCTCTGCTCTCTGTTTCGAAGAAGCATGGTTTACTTTCTAAAGATGTGCAATTGATAGAAAAGAAGACTGATGATGATTTTGACACAAAACCTGCAGTTAAGAAGCGACATAGGGATGTTGTTGGAAAAGATGATGATGTTGAACAAAATGTTAGAAAGGCAAAAACATCTAAAGCTTTAGGATCTGAAGGTAGTGAAGATGTTGATGTGATTCCTGATGTTAAGCCTAGAGTAAGAAAAGCAATAGGAGGCAAACTTAAAGAAGAAGTTGTTGAAGTTGTCAATGTTGAGGAGGAGTAAGTTATATATATGCATATTTGAAATACTTTTTCCAGTTATTGTAATTTTTTTTATACATTTTATGCAGATTGCATGGGTATAATATATTTTGTTTGAGTTCCTTTATTTAAGTTATTTAGTTGTATATTTGAGGTTGGGTTTACTTAGTCTATTATACAGTGGTTTGAAGGGTTACTTATTGAATTAGATAGTTGATTTTGGTTATAGGGATTAGTTTTTGTTTTCAGTTATTTAATTATGGTTATTTAATTGTTTATTTATATTGGGGTTAGTTACTTATTGAATTAGATAGTTCATTCATTTTAATTAGTTATTTGTACATTTGTTACAAGGGTTATTTAACTATTTTCCCTAGTGTTAATGGAAGGTTACATAAGGGGTTACCGAGGGGTTATATAAAAGGTTACTACAGGGGTTACTACAGTGGTTACTGAGTTGTTTATTAAAGGGGTTACTAAGGGGTTACTGAGTGGTTTATAAGGGATTACAACAGGTGTTATTGAGGGGACCATATAAGGGGTTACTAGTGGGTATTATATTTTGCTTTATAAATCCATTATTTTGTGATTACTGGAGGGGTTACTATGGGCAGATGGGTTACTAGAACTAATTTTTATTTAAGCTGTTATAATGGGTTACTAGAGGTGATTTATATGGGGTTACTATAGGGGATAAGGTGTTACTAGAGGTGATAAGGGGTTAATAGGGAGTTGGTTAGGGGTTGCTTAGGGGTTACTGAGGGGGTTATTTAAGGGTTTTACTATGGGGGTTATATAATGGTTATTAGATGGTTTAAGGGCAGGTGTGTTTCATAATCAATTTATTTTGGTTTACTAGATGTGGTATTGATGACAGATGGTTAACTATAGAGTTTATTAGAGGGGGTTACTTAAGGGTTATATAAGGGGTTACTAGAGGTGTTACTTGAGGCAATATTTAAGGGGCTACATATTAGGTGTTACTTTTCATGTTGCTAGGGATTGTGGTTATGTTATTATTTATAATAGTATTTGGTTAGAATTTTGTGTTTATTATTTAGTTTTTTGTCTTTTATTTGTTGATTTATTGTGTTGTATCTTCTTTTGTGTAGGGGTGATGAGATGACTGTTCGTTGTAGACCTACTGGTGTGTTTGAATTAATGAAAGTGTTGACCAAAGATCAGTTGAAAGCTGTTTATGCTGTTGGTTTTCAAAGTTTGCGTCACATAAAGTTGAATGAATTTCCAAAGGGCATGCTTCGATGGTTGTGCAAATTAAATGTTTTGATCCTTCTAGTAGATTATTTGTACTGCCAAGTGGGGATCAATTTCAATTAACTGCAGCTGATGTATACGATGTGTTTGGAATACCAATGGGCAAATTAGTTGTTCCAGTGACTGGTGCTCATTCAGAATTAAAGAAGTCTTGGAATATGAAGTATGGTGGGACAAAGCAGCAGGTTACTGTGAAGCAGTTGTCTGAAATGTTGACATCTGATCCACAAATGAAATTAGGAAATGATGATTTTAAAAAATGTTTTGTGATGTATTCTATGATTACGTTGCTAACACCAACCTCTAATAGATTGGATGATATGAAGCTTGTTGAAGCTTTAGAAAATGTGGATATGATTAGCCAATATAATTGGTGTCAGTATGTTCTTGATGATTTGGCTGACAAAATGAAGAAATATAATCCAAAGCAGAAGTATGTTGCTGGGTGTATTTTGTTGCTGCAAATGTGTTATTTCCATAGGCTTCAAAAGACAGGGGGTACTGATACTTGTCCAAGTTCTTTGCCGTTGATTAAACACTGGAGTATTGAAGACTTTAGAAATAGATTAGCTGCTGAAAATGGGAACTATGGTGATGGCGTTTTGGATAATTCTACCTATCCAATTACCGAAGTTGGTTCTGTTCCAGACTTGAAGCCTTATATTGATGAAAAGGCGGATGAAGAGGTAATAGAGGAGGATAGAAGGGAGGAACATAATGTTGAGAAGGATGAACAGAAGAAGAGTGAAAAAGATAAGAAAGAGATGAAGAAAGGAGTTGCTGGTGAGAAGAAATCCAAAGGAGTTGCCGGTGAGAAGAAATCCAAAGGAGTTGCTGTTCAGAAGAAAACCATTGGTTATACAAGAAAAAAAAGAGGTGTTAAAGATGTTTCTGATGGGGAAGGGAAGAACAAAGGAGAAAATATTGCTGAAGTTTCAGAAGAAAAAAATAAAAGAAACAAGAGTGTGTGAAGTGACAGCATTACCTGAAATGACAATGGATGTAGTTGCTTCTAGAAGGTGTGTTACTTTTGATCTTCCCGAAGAAATTCAATCTAATGAGGAGATCAATCAAGTTGCCAAGAATGTAAGTATAATTTTGTTTTGTTCTTTTTTTTTTATATATTTATCTTTCTTATTTTTTTTGTTTTGATTTATTTTATCTGTTATTATAGGTTACTTTTTTGTGATAATTGAGGTTACTTGCTTCTTTATAAGGGATAACTTGAATTTATATTTATTGGGGTTACTTATTTTTTTCACTGGGGTTTCTTGCTTCTTTATTAGGTTATTTGAATATATTTTTGTTAGGGTTACTTATTTATTTTTGTTGGGGTTACTCTTGTTTGTATTTACAGGGTTTCTTGTTTTTTAGTTGGGGTTACTTTTTTCTTATTAGGGGTTACTTGTTATAAACTTGAGGTGACTTTAATTATTTTTGTTGGGTTTCATTTTTTTTTCCTAAGGCTACTTTTTTTGTGTTCACTGGAGTTATTTTTTTGTGTTCAGTGGGGTTACTTTTATTGTGCTTACTGGGGTTACTTTCTTTTTTATTAGGGGTTAATTTACTTTTTTTGTGTACTTTGTTTGGGTTACTTATTTGTTTGTTGATTGTTACTATTACATGGATTTTTAGAGTGGATACTAAAAATGTTACTTGGTGTTTCAATGGTTTATTTTAATATGTTTATATTTGTTTTTATATAGGATGTTGAGGAAAACTATATGCTGCTGAAGAGGGATATTAGATTACTTTGTTATCAATTTGAGCAACGTATTGATTCGATTAAGGTTCAATCAGCAGCTGTAGAAGAAGATTCTAAGTTGCCTGAAAAGGAGAGATCTCCTGAGCTTTCTCAGCTGGATCCAATATTTAATGACCAGTCATTTTGGGCACAGATTGACATGATTGTTAATCAAACTGTTTTAATGAAGAAATTTGAAGAGGACTTGCCTTCATTTCAACTTTTTTCAAATAAAAGTCCTGATGTGCCAATTGAAACTCCGCCAAATGTAAATAAAGATATTTTTGCTCAGGCGTCTAAGGAAATACCACCACAAATTGATTCTCTTGCTTTGGAAGATGTGGCATGTGGTTTTGTCAATGATGCACTGAGGTTGACAAATGAAGAACAATCTTCTGAAGTAGATGGATCTTCTGGAGCAGTTGTAGAAGCAGTTGTAGAAGAAGATCAACCTTTTGATGCTGAAATTCAGAAAGGTCATATATCTGAAGCTGGAGTTGAGGGAGATCATTCTTCTAAAATTCTTGTTGAGGGAGATCAGTTTTGTGAATCTTCCGTGTCTGATATTCAGACTACTGAAGTTGGAATTGAGGATATGCAGCTTGATAATACTCGAGATTTTGAAATGGAAGAGGCTTTTGCTGTTGAAAAGACTAACACAGTTGAAATAGGTTTACCTTCATTTGATCTTTTTTCGTATAGCAATCCTAATCTTTCAACTCCACTTTTAACTCCTTTAAATCTTCCTTTAGTTTCAGATCCAATTTCATCACAAATCGATTCTCAAAATGTGGGAGATTTTTCATGTGATGTTATTAATGATGTCGTGAAGGATATAAATGAAGAGCATTGCTCAAAAGATATGGTGTCTGAATAAAGTGAATTTCAGAATGTTCAGAGAAATGATTCTGAAGTTGGAATTGAGAACATTCAAATTGTGAAAGCTGATGATTTGAATATGGAAGAAGTCACAACCAAAATACAAGAAAAGAAATAGTTGTCTGAAGCATTCATTGGTACTGAAACTTTTAACAATTCAGAAATTCAGCTTTCTCAAATTGAGACTGAAAATTATCAAGTCAAAGTTGTTCCTGAAGTTGTGTATATTGAAGATTCACAAAATGAAAATAAAGGTTCTCAAGTGATGGTACCGATTCCTGATATTGAAGTACATGTAGTTGAGAATATTATAGATTCTCAGATGCAAGAAGCTGTGATGGATACGACAGGTGATTCTTTGGGTTCAAAGCAGAATAAAAAAATAGAGAATGAAGGTGGGAGTCAAGTACAGGAAGTTTTAAATGTAGATGATTCTGAAATGTTTCCTGCATTGGCTGATGTTCCTGTTGCTACATCTATCCCTGTCTCTGATACAGCTACTAAGTCAAAGCAAAAAGTCTCAAAAACTCAAGAGGCTAAAAAAAAGAAATCAAATACTTCAAGTAGTGCTAAAAAACCAAGAAAGGAAATATTGTATTGTTCTGTGCCTGGTCATTCTGAAGAAGAGGCTCTTGCAGTTTTGAGAGAAAAGATGAAAGAATTTCCTGATGGTGAGGATGCTCATAAACCTTCTGATAATAGTGCTGAAAATTCTTATAGTAGTGGTTCTAGCTCAAATGCTTCTGGTCTTTTAAGCTGTAGTATTGACTGTGGTGAAAATGGTGGTTATACATTACAGCTGACATCAGAATCTTTAAGGCCTAAGAACAACAGGAAAAAAATATATGCAATGAAGGAGTTGAGGCTTAAAGTTGCTGATTATTGCTTTGTGGAAAATTATTCTGGAGTTAAATCAACGTAAGTATTGCTTTTTGTGTTATAGTAATGTAAAATTATGCTGAAAATTCTTATAGTAATGTAAAATTTGTTATGTGCTATTTAATTTTTTAAGTTTTGAATGATTATATTAACGAGTCATATTCAATCACCACAACTTACATATGCTTTTTGTGTTATAAATTCACAAATATGAAAGGGGTTACTAATTTGTATATTTGTCAGGGGATACTAATTTTATATACTGGGGTTACTAATTTTACATGAGGGGTTACTAATTTTACATGAGGGGTTACTAAAGGTGTAATTTAAGGTTTTACTAGAGGGGTTATTGAGGTGATTATATAAGGGGTTACCACAGGGGTTAATGGCAGGTAGCATTAATATTTCATTAATTTTGGGTTACTAATATCAAATGGTTTACTAGAGAGGTTACTAGAGATGATAGTAATTGTTACATCAAAGGTTACTTAATGGGTTATCTTTGTGTTGTTATTAGAGGGGTACTTAAGGTTTATATAAAGGGTTGGGTTACTAGAGGGGCTAGTAGATGTATTATTTAAGGTTACTAATTATAATTTTGATATAAGGGCTTTTTTAGGGGGTTACTAATTTTTAATTTTGGGGTTACTAATTTTATATATATTGGGATTACTTATTTAAATATATTGGGGTTACAAATTTTAATATATTAGGGTCATTTATAGGGGTTACTTGTGTTAATATATTGTTGTTACTAATTTAATATGTTTATTTGTGTTAGTATTTCTACTGGGATTTTCTTATTAAGTTACTGGGGTTACTTAGGTTATTTTGTTTAAAGTTATATAGTTATTATTACTGGGGTTACTTTGTTATTTGTATTAGGATTACTTTTCTTTATTTTTATTAGGATTACTTACTGATTTTTAATTGGGTTACTTTGTTTTTTTTTTTTTTTTTTTTTTTATGAAAGTGATTTTGTGTTGGGGTTACTAATTATTTTTGTATTTGTTTTTCATAACAGGGAGGTTATAGTCACTTATTCTGATATATATCAATTGCCTCGTGAAGAATTTCAAACATTGATCCCAGGACAATTTATATCATGTCGTGTTATGGACTGTTTCTATATTCTTTTAAATTGGGAGGAGGTTTTGGCAGGATTTAAATATAATAGAGTTTTTTTTTGGAAGTGAACATATGGTAAGTATGAAGGAATTTTATTCTAATAATTTAATAGAAATTATAGTATCTCATCCTCTTATTTTTGGTTTTTTGTTGTATGTAGTGGCCTGTATTGTAGTGTGTTATGGCTGGAGATGGTTGTATTTATGAGAGAGATGTATATGGTTCATGGGATGAATGGTTTTTGAATGTTAGATGTACTAATTTCTTGACTGCTATGATGGTATAATACTAATCTTTACCAATAATTTCTGGTATTTAAAGTAAATGAATTTAGTATGACAAGTTGGTATAACAACGTATCTTTTATTTCTGTTTTGCAGGTTTTTATGCCAATTTGGTTTGAGAACCATTTTGCTGTTGCTGTGGTGAATTTTATGGATCAAACGATTGATTATTTGGACAACAGAAAGTATTCAATCTATGATGAGGTTTTAAAGAAAAATACAACAAAGTTCGATGGATTGCATACTGTGTATAACAGTATAACATATCGTTTGGTAAGGTTTTTTTATAGTATTTGTTTAGATTATATTTTTTTTTTAGAGTTTGGTTTATTTGTTTCTGGTTTAGGAGATTCTTATGTTTTTATAAAGAGTGTTTGTTAGTCTGTTACTTTGTCCCAATACAGTTTCACCTGACAGTTATTAGGTGATTACTTTGGGGGTTACTTAGGGGGTTATTAAGGGGTTATATTGTCATAAATACTCTTTCATCTAACAATTATTATGAGGTTACTTTGCTGGTCACATAGGAGGTTACTTTGTGACTTAGGAATTACTTAATCTTGGGGTTATTTAGGGGATTACTTTGTCACTTAGGAGTTACTTAAGTGAGTGGGATTACTTAAGGGGTTACTTTGTCAAATTTATTGTTACATTTGACAGTGTTAGGGGATTACTTCATAACTTATACTCTTACAAAAGATAGGATTAGGGGGGTTACTTAGGGGAGTGGGATTACTTAAGGGGTTACTTTGTCAAATTTATTGTTACATTTGACAGTGTTATGGGATTACTTCATTACTTATACTCTTACACAAGATAGGATTAGGGGGGTTACTTAGGGGGTTACTTTGTACCAATAAGTCATAGATGATAATTTATTTTGACAAATATTTAATATTTGATACAAATATTATTATTTCAGATATCAAACTTATTTATTACAAACTTAATGTTAATTTAAAAACTTATACATTAATACTGTTCTCTGCTTCAGTAGGAAGCCTTTCAATTCCTTCAGCATTAAAAATTCTAATGTAAAAATTTACATCTTTGTCAAAATAAATATCCAGCCTTTCTCCATTAACAATGTTGTTGGAGATTACAAAGTTTGTCCATTGTTCATCAATAAAACAACCACCACAACTTCTGGTATCTTCTGGTACGCTAATCACTCTTACTTCCCAAAATCTGGGATTATTTCCACGGTGAATTTTAGCTGGATAGTTGAATTTTAAAAGAAAGTGTTTCCATTCTGCAGGAAGTGGCTGAAATAAAAAAAAAATAAAAAAAGAAAGGATTAACTTTTTACTAAAATAGAAAATAAATGTATAAATATAAAACTGAATGCAAAATGTATTTACCAGACTATTGCGACAAATGTTCTGTATTTAACAGAACATTTTTCCATATTTGCATAAAAATCACTCATTGTCTTCAATATTGAATAGAAGTAGAAAAATATAAGGTAATGATATGAAACTCAACCTTATATATAACAATATAGGTTGTTAACTAAATATAGAAAAAATGAAGGTTGTTAATTTAAGTCTTTTAATAGAATAAACTTGATTTAATCCAGCCTTTAAATAGGAATCAGTTATCCATGAATAGTCTCAAAATAGAAGTTTGATTTGTTTAACTTTTTGATGATGCATTAATTACTTTTTCAGATTTGTATGATTTTTTGATGATAAAATGAAATACTTTTCAGTTTTGAATGACTTTTTCATGACTTTAGTCAAATTTGTATGACTTTCTCATAATGCAATAAATTAATTTTTTCAGAATTGTTTAACTTTTCAGCAATAATAAATTTGTTTTCTGACCAATTTGATATTATCTTGACAAACAACATGTTATTTCCCACATGTGTAAGGGTTACTTTAGGGGGTTTCCAGAGGGGTTATTTAGAGTGGTTATATAAAGGGGTTACTTACGGGTTACTTAGAGGGGTTACTAAAGGGGTTACCAGAGGGGTTACTTAGAGAGTTACCAGAGGGGTTACTTAGGGGGTTACCAAAGGGGTTATTTAGAGTGGTTATATAAAGGGGTTACTTAGGGGTTACTTAGAGAAGTTACTAAGGGGGTTACCAGAGGGGTTACTTAGAGAGTTACCAGAGGGGTTATTTAGAGGGGTTACTTAGGGGGTTACCACAGGGGTTACTTAGGGGGTTACTCGGGTTGGCTTAAATGGTTACTCTGGTTGGCTTAAGGGGTTACTAAGGGATTACTTAGGGGGTTACTCAGGGTTTACTCAGGGTTTTGTTTGTATTTGCTGGGTTACTTGGTTAATCATAGTAATAATGATTACTGGAGGTTACTTGTAATGTTTTTCCTGGGTTACTGAATAAAAAATGGTTTCCTTGGGTTACTGAAAAATTGATTATAAACATGTATATAATCGATTTAATTATTTTGCAGAAATAATAATATGAACATGTATTTTTTACTTTTTCAGATTTGTATGACTTTTTGATGATAAAATGAAATACTTTTCAGTTTTGAATGACTTTTTCATGACTTTAGTCAAATTTGTATGACTTTCTCATAATGCAATAAATTCAGTTTTGAATGACTTTTTCATGACTTTAGTCAAATTTGTATGACTTTCTCATAATGCAATAAATTTCTCATAATGCAATAATTTCAGTTTTGAATGACTTTTTCATGACTTTAGTTAAATTCGTATGACTTTCTCATAATGCAATAAATTAATTTTTTCAGAATTGTTTAACTTTTCAGCAATAATAAATTTGTTTTCTGACCATTTTCATCTTGACAAACAACATGTTATTTCCCACATGTGTAAGGGTTATTTTAGGGGGTTACTTTAGGGGGTAACTTTATAGAATTTAGTTGGTCATATTTTTTATATTCTTATGTGTAAAGTTTACTTAATGGGTTATTATGGGGTGTTAAATAGGGGTTACTAAACTATTTTGACTGGGATTACTAAGGGCAAATGGGTTACTGAGGTTGTGATATAATGGGTTATTAGAGGGGTTATTTAGATGCTTTTATAAGAGGTTACCAGAGGGGTTTAGGGCAGGTGACATTCATATTCCATTAAATTGGGATTACTAGATGGTTTCTTATGGCAGATGTTAGCAATTGTTATATCAGGGGTTACTTAATGGGTTACTTTTATATTTAATTCTCATTTTATAAGGGGTTACCTTTATGTTGTTATTAGAGGGCGGATGTATTATTTAAGGGTTACTTATTATAATTTTGATATAAGGGCTTCTTTAGGGGGTTACTTTTAATAGGTTACATAAATATATTTTTATTTTCATATGTATTTATTTTAAGGGGTTTCTTTTCATGATCTTTTCTTTATTTTGTTTTTTTTTCCTGTTGATTTCTTTTTTAAACTATGTATTTTTGTTTTATTTAGAGATATCTTATGTCAAGATACATGACAATCAAAGGTCGTGAGAATGGAGTGGATGTAATGGATTTCCCAATTCGAATGATTAAAGTTGATGGACCGAAAGCTGCTGCCAATGTTGATTGTGGAGTGTTCTGCCTTTATCATTGTGCTTCATATTTTGGCAAATCATTTAAAAGCTATCGTTTAAATCAGGTGAAATGGCTTTATCTTCTATGATTTTTAAATGTTTACTCTTCTACACTGTTTTTCTGTTTTATTATTATTATTATTATTATTTCATTGATTTAAATTTTCTTTTTATACATTTCTCTAGATAATTGAACGCCGTCGATATCGAGCTGAAATTTGTGCTTCACTGGTTTTATCTGATTTGAATAAGATAAGAGACAATGTATTATCACGTGTTGATGATTTTGTCAAAAACAATGAAGCAATTATGATTGAAGTTTTAAGGAATGAAAAGCTTGTTAGAGAGGCTGAAATTGAAGCTTTGAAGGCAGAGCCACAAGCTGATCTTGAAAGGAGAAGAAAAGCTAAATCTGATAAAGAAGCAACAGCTTTGGTGGCTGCTACAATAGCAGCAGAAGAAGCTGCTGCTAAAAGAAAATCAAAAAGAAACAACACAACACAAATTGGAGATGTTGAAAAAGAAGAAGCTGCGTTAGTGGCTGCTACAATAGCAGCAGAACAGGCAACTTTAAATAGAAAATCAATACGTAATGTATCAGCAGCTGCACCAGTACAAGCAGTATTATCTAGATCTAGAGCTCCAGTTGTCAAGAGAAATGCACCAGCAGCATCATCTATAGTACCAGCACCAGCATCTAAATCTACAACACCAACATATAGAAAGAAGAATTGAAATGAAAACTCAAAGGACAGTAAGGAATTGAAATGAGAACTCAAAGGACAATAAGGAATATATTTTTCTCTAGGTTTTTAAGTATCATTGGATTCATTTGAATTTAATTCATATAATTAGTTTATGTTTGATTTTTTTTTTATCTCTATGTTGGATAATTAGTCATACTTGATCTAGTTGCATTGTTAATATTTCAAACTATATAAATTAGTTTAAAATTTAGTATGTAAACTACTTTAAAATTTTGTTCATTTTTTTTTGTCTATGGAATATTATGCACTAGATATTAGACAGCTTATTAGAGGGATTATTAAAAGTGTTACTTAGGGGGTTATCACAGGGATTACTTAGGTTGTTATCAGAGGGGTTACTTATAGGGTTATCAGAGGGGTTACTTAGGGGGTTACCAGATGGGTTAGTTAGAGGGATTATCAGAGGGGTTACTTAAAGGGGTTACTTAGGGGGTTCCAGAGGGGTTACTTAGGGGGTTACCAGATGGATTACATAGGGGTTTAGGGTTAGGGGTTACTTGGTTTTTTGTTAGGGGTTAGGGTTAGGGGTTAGGGTTAGGTTGTTTCCTCATGTTTGTTAGGGGTTACTTTTGGTTTTTTGTTTCCTTATTAGGGTTTACCTTTATTTATATTGTTGGGGTTACTTTCATTTACTTTGTTGGGCACCAGGTTGTTTATATAGGGGTTACTTGGGGCTTATAAGGGGTTACTACCATTTACATTGTTGGGTTTAATTCCATTTGTTTATATAGGGGTTACCTGGGGTTATATGTTTCATTATAAAGGGTTACTTGGGGTTATATATTTTCTTATTAGGGGTTACCTTTATTTACATTGTCAAGGTTACTTCCATTTACATTATTTGAGTTACTTGCATTTGTTTATATAGGGGTTACTTGAGGTTATATATATGTTTCATTATATAGGGTTACTTGGGGTTACATTGTTGGGGTTACTTCCATTTGTTTATATAGGGGTTACTTAGGGTTACTTGCATTAGTTTATATTATTAGTGGTTACTTGGTGTCATGTTTCCTTATTGGGTTTTTTTTTTTTTTTATATAATTTTGTTTGTATATATATATATATGTTAGGCATTACTTTAGGTTAAATGGTTCTTAATTACAGGTATATGTCAGGGGTTACTTGTGTTTTTTTTTTCTTTATGTATATATATATGTTAAATTCTTCTTAATTAAAGGTATATGTCAGGGGTTACTTTTCTTATTTTCTTTATGGTTACTTGCTATTTATTTACAATATTATACACATGTTTTGAAAATTAAATAAATATCTACAACTTAAATTATAAATGTCAAGGAAAACAATAACTTAATATTATTTCTATTTTATTCTAAAATATTTACTATTGTAAAGACAAAACAGTAATATGAAATTAAAAGAGCTTTGGATTTACTACAGGTGTGATTGTTCCAAATTCTCTTGTGTCACCTTTTGCTTGCATTGCTTTTGTTTTCTTTGTTTTTGGTTGTTTTCCTTTTTCAAAGTGTCCCTTGATTCTTTTACTTCTCCCTTTAGTGTTTGCCCTTGCTGGATCACTCACTGTTGGTATTTCTTCTTCATTTTGCTGATCTGTTGTGGCATCATCAGATTGTTCTCCTTCTTCTTGTGCTTCTACCTGTTTTTTTATTTGTTCTACTTCCTCTTCAATTTTCTTTAGTTGTCTCTCTAAAAAGTTGTGTGTCTCTTTGTAGTGTTGATACTTCAGAATTAGATTGTAGCTCTTTCTTGCCATTGTGTGACGCCAAGGCATAAATTTCTCTCTTGCTGTTGAATTTTCTACTGCATTTTCATCCTTTTTTTTTCCATATATGAGCTTTAGTCATCTTTGTCCACCTTGCTGAGACATAATGTTCAGGAATTCTTGTAATTGAATGCTGGTGTAAGATGCGCAAACAATGATAACAAAGCCATCCTACTTCTTCAAAATTTTTGCATGAGCATGCAACTTTATTTTGTGTGCTAACAAATGTGACCTTTTGCCTAGAAGACATGTCATCTTCAATTTGCACCTCATAAAAGTAATGATCTCCCAATTGACCATGTAGATGTGCTATGCAACCCATTGAAAAACTGAACTCTGATTCAAAATCTCTGAAAATTGTCTGTGTGTATATCTCTGATGCATGCTTCAAGAGTCCATACATGGGGAAATGTGATGTTGGTTCAGAGTTTGAACACTTAAAATCTACATCAGATTCATTTTTTCTCCATCTGTTCACAGTTTGCTTGAATATTCTGAAAAAATCTGACAGACTTGTGTTCTTGTTTGCTTTAAATCCAACAGCATTATTAGTACTCTCACTTCTTTGAGAAGATAAAATACCAGCAGAGAAAAAGTCTTTACTCAAAGCTGTGCACCACTTCTCTCTAAGGTTATATAACCTTTTGAACCAGGTATTTTTTTCAAGTTTATAGGTTGTTATCATGTTATCCCAACAAATTTGAAATTCTTCTGCTGTTACACAACCACTTAGGCATTTATTGAATGCATCTTTGAAAGATGTATTTCTTTTTAATGCTCCAAATCTTGATACATCATTTTTTATTAGATGCCAGATACATAACCTATGCCTTGAGTGAGGAAATACCTGTAAGTTTACAAGAGAAGAAAAGGGTTATTTAATCAATATTAATATTGTTAGTTGCTCATTAATATTGGGGTTACATAGGGGTTACTTACTCATTAATATTGGCATTACATAGGGGTTATTATTTTTGATATATTGACTTTGGTGAAATTTATATATTTTTAATAAATTGAGGTTACTAGTTATTTTTACTGGAGTTTATGGGATTACTTAATGGGGTTACTTAATGGAATTTATTAATGGGATTACTTTATTAATTTTGACATGGTTTACTTAATTTAACAGTGGATTACTTAATCAATTTTACTTAATCAAGATCGAGGTACTTATTCAATAAATACAGTGGTTACTTTTTTTTTTTTTTGAAACCACAAATACAGTGGTTACTTAATCAATTCTAATACAGGTTTTATGACAAGGGTTTTTTGGCAATTAATTTGGTGGTAATTTTGGGTTTGCTTAATGGGTTACATACTAGAGGGGTTACTGATGAGACTACCAGAGTGGTTTCTTTGTATTTGCTGAGGGGGTTACTTAGGGGGTTATTAGAGGAGTTACTTAGGAGGTTACCAGAGGGGTTACTTAAAGGGATTATCAGAGAGGTTACTTAGAAGTGTTACTTAGGGGGTTACCAGAGGAGTTACATACAGGGGTTACTATAGGGGTTACTTTTGGGTTAATTACAGTGTTACTTAGGGAATTTCCAGAGGGGTTTAGGGGGTTACCAGATTTATTACTTAAGGGTGATCAGAGGGGGTTACTAGTTAGTTCAGTTATTTTAATTTAGAAATAGAGGGGTTACCATAGGGGTTACCAAAGGGGTTACTTTCCAGAGGGGTTTAGGGGGTTACCAGATTTATTACTTAAGGGTGATCAGAGGGGGTTACTAGTTAGTTCAGTTATTTTAATTTAGAAATAGAGGGGTTACCATAGGGGTTACCAAAGGGGTTACTTTTATATGCAGGGTTTGCTTAAGGGTTCTTATATCAATAAGTACAGGAATTTATAAATCAATTTAAACAGGGGGTTATTTAATCAATTATAGGGGATAGAAGATAAGTAGATAGATAAAAATTATTGTGTTTACCTTTTCAATTGCATTAGACATTTCCATGTCTTGATATGTGAATATTGTAGCTGGTTGACTGCCTCCCATAGACTTTTTAAAAGTTGTTAAAAGCCACTCAAATGTATTTGTCTTCTCATCAGCTATAAATGCACATCCAAACATCACATTCTGCCAATGATTATTTACTCCCACTATAGGTGCACAAATGAGGTTGTATTTGTTAGTTTTGTAAGTTGTGTCAAAAACAGTCACATCACCATAGACATTAAAGTCCTCTCTCATTTCAGAGTCTCTCCAATATATGGCTGTTATCCTGTTACTGTTTTTTTCTCCTCTAAGTTTAAATCTAAAGAAAAAATCTTCTTCTTCTGTCTGTCTTTTATATAGACTGTCTATAACAGTTTGTGCATCTCCACCTTCAATTTCTTTCATTTTTCTTCTTGATATGTAGTTTAAATGATCTTTCAAGGTATGACCAAGCAATTCTACACCCCCAGCTTCATTTGTCATCAAGTTGTTAGCTTCAGTTGGCTTTAACCCACTCTCTGCCATAAGGTCAATTACTTTTGCTTTTTCTTCAGTGATCTTTCTTTCTGATCTGTGTAGATGTTGCCATGCTTTTCTTGTTAACTCATGGTTGTGATTCATGATATGTTCCTCAATTTCAAACAGGCCTTCCTTGTTTTTTTTCGCTCTTATTAATGCTTTGCAACCTGTTCTAGTTGTAGGAACTTGTTTTACTTTTTTTCTGTTTTCATTAGGTGCAGGAGGAGATTTCTGTACTTTAGGTTTGCATCTAAACCCTTCTTTTGAACAAACAAAATCTTTTCCTTTTATTTGTTTGTTATCTCCTTGAGTCCATCTTGTGCTTGATAGTCTTACTCCAAATCCCATAGCAAATGCATGCTTTTTATATATGTCTCCAATTTCATCCAAAGTTTTTGCTGTAACTCCTATTAGGCATCCTGTATAATTAAAATCTTCTTCTTTGTGATCTTGACTATGTTGTGACAGATTGTTATCATTTGTGCTTTCTTCTGTTAATGTGCTCTGAGTTTGTTCTGCTGTTTTTGCACTTGGTTCTGTTGTTAATGTAAAATAAAAATTAGGATACATACAGTTATCATGTAGAATATTTAATTCTTTTACAGTATATAAAAACAATTAGTGGTTACTACAGTAGTTCAAGTGTTATTTAGTGGTTATTGGAAGGTGTATCAGAGGGGTAGTTTTGGGTTTACTTAATGGGTTACTTATCAGAAGGGACCACCAGAGTGGTTTTTTAGTATTTACTGAAAGGGATACTTAGTTCAGGTGTTATCAGAGGGGTTATTAAAGGGGTTACTTAAAGGGGTTATTAGAGGGGTTACTTTAAGGGGTTACTTAGGGGGTTGCCAGAGGGGTTACTCAGTGGGTTACCAGATGGGTTACTTAGAGGGATTATCAGAGGGGTTACTTTGAGGGGTTACTTAGGGGGTTTCCAGAGGGGTTAGTAGGGGGGTTACCAGATGGGTTATTAGAGGGATTACTTAGAGGGGTTACATAGGGGGTCACTAAAGGGGTTACTTAGAGGGGTTATCAGAGGGGTTACTTAGAGAGTTACTTAGAGGGGTTACTTAGAGAGTTACTTAGAGGGGTTACTTAGAGAGTTACCAGAGGGGTTACTTAGAGGGGTTACTTAGGGGGTTACTTAGAGAGTTACCAAAGGGGTTACTTACAGAGTTACCAAAGGGGTTACATAGAGGGGTTACTTAGGGGATTACCAGAGGATTTACTTAGAGAGTTACCAGAGGGGTTACTTAGGGGGTTACCAGAGGGGTTAGTTAGAGTGGTTATATAAAGGGGTTACTTAGGGGTTACTTAGAGGGGTTACTAAGGGGGTTACCAGAGGGGTTACTTAGAGTTACCAGAGGGGTTATTTAGAGGGGTTACTTAGGGGGTTACCACAGGGGTTACTTAGGGGGTTACTCGGGTTGGCTTAAATGGTTACTCGGGTTGGCTTAAGGGGTTACTAAGAGATTACTTAGGGGGTTACACAGGGTTTACTCACGGTTTTGTTTGTATTTGCTGGGTTACTTGGTTAATCATAGTAATAATGATTACTGGAGGTTACTTGTAATGTTTTTCCTGGGTTACTGAATAAAAATTGGTTTTCCTGGGTTACTGAAAAATTGATTATAAACATGTATATAATCGATTTAATTATTTTGCAGAAATAATAATATGAACATGTATTTTTACCTGTAATTTCGATGTTTTCCAGTATTAGTTGTTGAATTTCTCTAATTTTCTTTTCGATCTCTAAATTACTTAATGAATCGCCTATTTCTTTAATTTCCATGGATTCTTGTGAATCTGGAAAATTTTGATCTTCGTCAGCCATGTGAAAAACCTGGTGAGAAAAATCGGAGTTTTAGAAAAATCGAAATGTGAGAAAATGAAAAATGCGGCGGCTCATTTATTAGGTTTTTGGAAAGTGTGTGAAATGGGTCCCGGTTTTTGGAAATTTTTGTGGATCCCGTTATTTTTGTTCGCCTCCGTTATTTGTGCTGAGTTGGCATACGGCCGTACGGTGCGGCTGGTGGCACAGAAAACGCGCTGATAATGTAGATATTATTAAAAAAATTTTTTTATAAAGTAGATTCCATGGCGAATCTAATGAGTAACTATATGAACATTTTTCCTTACGGACAAATTACACAAAATGGATAAATCATATATTCGTATTATTTACAAGTAAGTTGATAGGCTGCTGTTAAAGGCTGAAGTGTTGGGTCAGGGCCATATGATGTAGCAGTCAGAAGTTGGGCTTTACTACAGTTTTGGTAAGTCCACGGTAAAATAACTATTGTTGGGCTTTGATTTCTATGAATAGTAGCTTGGTTTGGAAGGCACGTATTTGACATTGGAAAAGATTATTCATTAAGCAGGGCTAATATTTAATCCAAAGTTTCAAACCCTAGGCCTAATTTAATGAATACTTCTTAAGTCGTTGAGATATTGAATTAAATTTGACTTGACTTCTTACTAATTTTGAGATCTAGTTAAAATTCTATTTTAAGTCTAATTGGTTTTGACTCAATTACAATTGAGTTGCTCATCATACTCATAATCAAGTACAAAGTACCCTACATTATTCCCTTGAATTACTACCTCAATTCCTAATTTTCTCTATTATGTGAGGAATAAATACTACTCGTGAAAATAAGAATGTAATTTAGGAACGGTGGGAGTAGTCAGTGCTATTTATTTGATCAATTGAGGTAAAATGTTGATTCAACACCTATAGTAACGTTTAACTCTATAACAATGATTGTTAACGTGTCTAGGAATGATTCTATTTTTTCCCTTAAATTATTGGTAATTAGACGCGTAGATTGGTTGGTTGAACAACAATTTATTAACTAATAATTAAGTGAAATAATGAATCTCATTATGCATTGGCTGAACGATAATTCCGTACTTGGATCACATCGTACAAACCAATCATGTACATACACATGCAGCACATCATTCTCATAGACTTTGAGGTTATTAATTATTCCTTTGTGTAATATATTGTTTTTCATAGTACTATAATACACAATTAACACGGCAATCTCATAGACTTTGACACTTTGTACGACAATGACAAACGCGATGATACATTAATCATGACTCAGTACCGAGAGGATGAGAATTGAACATATAAAATAATACCTCAAAGTTGCACATGACTATTAACGGAGGTAATATATAGTTTTATTTTTGTACATACTATAACCGCTAATGTATTAAGCGATAAAATACTATACAATAATTTTATAGATGCATTTAAAATAAATGCTAAATTTTCAGGTAATAAGTTGTTGTGATAATATAATTAAATTAAAAAGTTTATTTTGAACTTTGAATTGGGTTTATATTTTGATGCTCATAGATTTGTTGAGCCAGGTTCTCCAACCCCTACCTCGTTTTTGTGAAATCATTTGGGATCTTGCTTCACTCATATTTGATGGCTGCTCTGGCTTCTTGCATAGCACAAAGTTCCTCCCTCCACATGATCCAATCTCGTCCCATGTGCCTAGGGCTGTAAATTTGATGTACCCTTGTCGTTAACTGTATCGAAACCTTACTTGACAAATATAGTTGTATCGTCATTTATAAAACCTTGTTAAATATATTGACGATTAAAGTTATGCATTAACATATATAAAAAAAAAGTATGTACATATTGTAGTGACAATTGAAATTAGGAGATTTGATAATTATTGTCTCGTCTCTAGTCTACATCATTGCCCTTAAGGTCTGAACATAACCAGCTTAGACGTCATAAATACAAAAGCGTTAAGAGAAGGGGATGTAGAGCTTACCATCAGAACCGGCATGGGAACAATAGAGGAGAAATTTAGTAGAATCGGAACCCAATATAGGGAGACGACCTTCCTTAGCATACAACTTCAAAGCAGTGGCAATAACACCGTCAACAACATCCTCTTCATTTACTAGAAACCTCAAAGGCCCTGCACTTCCTAGCACATTGATAATCACCAACAAACGTTTGTTGTCGCGGTCATTGATACTGCCCTTGCTACACTCAAAGCAGTTGCCCTTCTTCTGTTTGTCGCCAGAGTACAGGCTAGTCATCATATTCTCCGATAAATTTTTCCTCATTTTTTGTTTATAACGTTGTAACCCTTATATATATTGATCAATGGTATATACTATAGCACCTAACTTGTAAATTAACCCTTATAATAACAAGGCAAAAGGAAGGACAATAAAATTATGGACTTCTTTTATTCAAAAAAATTGTCTAAGGGTCAAGGCCGAGGCAGCGATAATACCAAGCTTGCTTACAAGAGCTGAAAGAAGAAGAGAGGAGCAATAATATGAAGGAAACACGGTCGGCCTGCGTATGTTTCATAGGACGTGCAGAGGATGGGATGTTGAAATGAAGAGAAGGCATGAAAGAGGCTAAGTTGCTAACTGTGCGTACCATTCAAATTATTTTTGATTTTTTTTTTTTTTTTTTTTTTTTTTTTTTTTTTTTTTTGTTTGATGACTTTGATTTGATTGAAGGAGAAGAATTTTGATTGAAATGAATTTGAAGGAAGTGGTGTGAAAAATGGGATAATTAGGAAAGCTTATAAATAAGATATAATGGCAAAATAAAAGGTTTATTTAGACAAAGGGAATAGGTGGTTTTTGTGCTGGTATATGCTCTTAGTTAAACATTTGTTCTATCATTTTTTTTTAATGCTAAATGCTAATCATATTATGGCGTGGAAAGAATGACGCTAATTATTCATTATTCTTTTATTTTAATGTATGTTCAAATGAGCAATAATTGTGTTCTTATGGTCTTTATTTCCTAAAAATCAATGACTATATAATTATACCTCAGATAATTTCTTAATTTTCATCTTGTCTATTATATCTTCGAGTGTGCCTCATGCTAATGTACGTGTTTAAAATACATATGTGGCACGCAATAAGTATAAATGCACGAAATGCATATACTCTTTATTAGTGTATTACTAAGCTTGGGAAACCCCTTAATAGACTTCCATCTTTTTTTTTTTTTTTTTTTTTTTTTTCTTTTGGTTAGAAAGACTTTCATCATTTATTCCTTAGTTACATACTAAAGCTAACAATGACAAATTTATCATTTGTTTAACAATCAAATAATCAATGTGGATGAAGAAAAAATAATTTACTAAAACTAATTAGATGTGTTGTATGTGTGTAAGGTCATTAATCATGATTATAGCAATCCTAATGAAAACAACCTAATCTTTAATTAAACATGAGTCACTTTCTCTTACTGTAGGTATGTTGGCCGCCTAAATAGTCTCCATTTTATAAAGAGACAATATTCACATATAATCAAGTATTAATATACACGAAGTATATCATTTTTCTTCACTAAAGTGTCAAAACTCAATACTAAGATCATACATAACATAGAATGTGTTTTATGATGAAGATCTTTGATGAGATGTTGAGTTAGAGTCGTAAGGAGGGGAGATCACTTTCGTGACTGAGAGATAAAGAAAGTTACGGAGTTCTGTAAAAGAGAATGTGTTTTTAACTTTGATCCATTCTATCTTTAACCATAGTAAATTAATCCATTCATCTCCAATATAACGACAATACTTATGATTTTTAAACTTTTTTTTTTTTCAACATACTAATGTTATGTTTTATGAATGATTAGTGGTTATGGATAGAGGTGTCAATTCGGATAACCGGATAAAGTTTGGGTTGGGTCTATTCAGGTCGAATATATTCAGTTCAAAATTACGCTTTTAACCCGCTCCGGATCATATCGATTCACTTTCGGGTCGGATCAAATTCGGGTCAAGATCTGTCGAGTCCAAATCGGGTTTGGGTCGGGTCAATTTTAGATCGGTTCATATTCGGTTCGGATTCAATCGGATCGGGTTCAAAACGGATTTGACTGGGTTAATATCAGGTCGGATGACTTTGGATCGAGTTGGTTTTGATTCGGTTGATTTTGATTCTGTTAAGTTTGTTTTGATTCCTAAAGTTGATTCAGTATTCGGTCAATTTTAATTTGGTTTAGATATTTTCGTGTTTGGCTGAATTTTGCTTGTTGGGTTGACCAAATTAAATATTCAAATAAGTAAATTTTTAAAATTAGAGTAATTATTGAGTTTTTATATCTTGTTAATGGATTATTCATGTGTCATTTTCCATATCGTGTCATTAATATATGTTTAAGTAAAAAAATAAGGTAAACAATAAATTAGGTTTAAAATTATGGTTAGTTTGAAATCACGTCAAGTCAAAATCAGGTCTGCTTAAAATCGGGGCCGGGTTAATATCAGTTCGGATAAAAATGGATCGGAATGAATCAGGTGTTTGTCAGGTCAATTTCGGTTCGAATTGAGTTCTGGTCAAGTCAATTCGGATCGATTTGAGTTTAAATCGGGTCAAATCGGTTTTGGGTTGAGTTCAAGTCGGGTCAAATCGGTACCGAGTTTATTTCAAATTGTATCAAATTCGGGTTGAGTTCAGTTTGGTAACAGATCAGGTTTTGGTGTTGAGTTTCTCGGATCAAATTGGATCGATTACACTTCGAAACGGATGGTTTTTTTCGGTTCGGTTCGATTTTGACACCTCTAGTTATTGTTATAATAAGCTCCAAAATTGAGGTTCAACATTGAAACTAAAATAAGTAGATTAAAGGTTATAATTTCCCACAAACACAATGATCATTTTACCCATGTTAAACTCAAATCTAAATTACTTGAATCAAACATCCTTTGTAAGTTGTCCAAAATTGTGAGAGGTTTATGTTTACTTAAAGTGTCATTTGGATAAATGTGTACATAAGATGATAAATTATTTTTGGATATCCAAAAGTAGGTGTTGGAGATAGGTTGCATCGAGTTATAATTGATTTTGAATTCTAGACAAGTTAGGTGCCAATTGAGGTTCAGATTGTTATTGGTTGAATTAAATTAATTGTTAGTTGACAATAGGTTGTATCTAGGTCCGGTTATAGAATATCAAGTCAAATCAATTGTCGAATAATTTCGGGTCAGTTTGGGTCGGATTACAAGTCACTAGTCAGTAGTCACTCTATTGTCCAAGAAGTTGTGTTTAGATCGTTGTTGTACATGTTTGTTTCTCGGGTCAGGTCACTTTATAAGAACTACTACCTCCGTTAATTGTTATCTGCAAATTTGGAATATATATATATATATATATATATATATATATATATATATATATATATATATATATAATAAAAATAAAAATAAAAATTAATGAAGGTAGTATAATAAGCAACAACTTATCAACACATGTCATAAATTGCTACACTTGGGAAACCCACAAATGGACCTATTTTTTTTTTTTTGTTGAAGACCTTCATCTTTCCATTCTTTAGCTGCGTATCTTAGCCAATAAATTTTATTGCAACAAGCTCACAACTTTTAAAAATCGAACAAAGGATGAAGAAAAATAAATTAATTTGACTAATAAATGAGCTGAGTGTAAGGCCGTTAATGAAGATTATACAATAGTCCTAATGATGAGAGCCTACTCTTAAATAAAACTCGAATCACTTTCGCCTATTGTTGGCACATTTGACTGTCTCCATTTTATAAAGAGAAGGCTAAGAAAATTCAAATATGCTCACGCAAGTAAGCTAATTAACTACTAGCATGTCAATTGTCTTTGACGACGAAATTCCGGAAAGTCATAACTCATAACTAACTAAGATCATACATATGAAAAATTATTATGTTCATTATGCTAAAAGAAATCAATGAATTATCTTATATCCTTAGGCAATAAGGTACAATAATTGTATAGAATGAATAATATTTACTTTTTTCTTGTATGCATTTCTTGGTTTCTTTTCGTATTCTTTGCAACAGCAACAACCAATTATACTCGCATCAGTAACATCACAACTACTCAGTTTCTTAGAGACCCAGAATCATTAGCTTCTAGTAATGCCAATTTTATGGTTGGTTTTTTTAGTCCAACTAATTCGACAAATCGATATGTTGGGATCTGGTATAGTAACAAGCAGGATTCAGAGTCTGGTATATCAGAAGTTGTATGGATAGCTAACAGAGATAATCCTCTGATTAACTCTTCTGATGGGGTGTTCAGAATTTCCGAGGATGGAAATCTTCAAGTATTGGATGGACAAAATAAGAGCATTTGGTCTACAAATATATCTCAAGATCATCAGCCAAATAATTCAGTAGCTCAGCTTTTAGATACAGGAAATCTTGTTCTGATTTCGAATGTTAGTGGTGAGACCATCTGGGAGAGCTTTGAAAATTTAACGGACTCGTTGTTGCCTCCAGTGACGGTCACCATTGATATGGAAACAAATGATAGCTCATTGCTTCGATCATGGAAGAGTGCTTCGGATCCTTCAAGTGGACGCTTCAGTTTTGTAAGTCTTCCTCGAAACCTTCCTGAATTTTTCATTATGGATGGTGATAGACCTTATTGGAGATCCGGCCCTTGGAATGGTAATCTCTTTCTTGGAATCCCTTATATGCAGTCAGTAGTTTCCAATGGATTTCAAATTAATAATAAAATTCAAGGCAAACTCGAGGTGTCATATTCAGTGGCGAATCTATCATTGTTAGAACGATTGGTGTTAAATCATGATGGCCGGTTGTTTCAAGAGGATTGGAATGATAGTAGTGGGAAGTGGGAGGTTTATTGGAATTCTTTAGAGTCTGAGTGTGATGTTTACGGAAAGTGTGGTGTGTATGGAAGTTGTGACCCCAAGAAGTCACCAATTTGTAGTTGCTTGAAAGGTTTCGAGCCAAATAACAAGGATGAATGGAACAAAGGAAATTGGACTAGTGGGTGTTTTCGAAGGACACCACTGCAATGTGGCATAACAGATGGAAAATCAGACAAGTTTTTAAAGCTGAAGAACATGAAAGTGCCAGATTATGCTTACTGGTCTTCGGGTGGTCAAGATGGTTGTAAAAGGAAGTGCTTAAAGAATTGTTCATATTTCGCTTTTGCATATTATACAGGAATTGGATGCATGATGTGGAATACAAGCCTTGTTGATATACAACAATATTCTGCTGAAGGTGCTGATCTTTTCATTCGCTTGGCTCAATCAGAATTAGGTAAACCTCTCAACTTCTGTTCATTTCAGCTTAATTTCAGTTCAATTCAATTCAGTTTAGCTCCTAATTTTTTTATGATGGTAGATCCACATCTTCGGAAAGATTTGGACTGGAAGAAGCGCTTCATCATTGTTGAAGGGATATGTCGAGGCCTACTTTATTTGCATAGTGATTCTAGGTTGAAGATTATTCATCGAGATCTCAAGGCAAGCAACATTTTGCTCGATGAAGAGCTTAATCCAAAGATATCAGACTTTGGAATGGCTAGAATATTTGGGAGCAAACAAGATCAAGCCAATACTTTAAGGGTTGTTGGTACCTAGTAAGTTTCCTAACAGTTAAGCATGATACTTGTACCAAAAGGCAATGTAATAATGAATCTTTCGTTGATATGCAGTGGGTACATGTCTCCGGAGTATGCCATGGAAGGTCGATTTTCTGAAAAATCGGATGTATTTGGTCTAGGAGTGCTACTGTTAGAGATTGTCAGTGGCAGAAAGAACAATAGCTTTTCCAATTATGAATCCTTGAGCCTATTATCTTACGTATGTTATTTGATATAAACTTCATTTCAGTACCAAAAATTTACTTTAATTTCCCTTCTTGTTAAAGATCACATGAAAATTTAAGTGACTAACATATATTTTGATGTTTTCAGGCATGGAAATTGTGGAATGAAAATGATATCGTTACATTAATTGATCCAGCATTAGACTTTGATCAAAGTTTTCGAGTTCAGATATTGAAATGTATACAACTGGGGCTATTATGTGTGCAAGAATATCCTGAAGATAGGCCAACCATTTCGGCTTTAATTTCCATGCTTGATGTTGAAGATGTTGCTGACCTTCCACGACCAAAGAAACCTGGTTTTACTCGAAAGAAAATTTATAGCACTGATGATGAACTAGTCCCTCAATATGGTGAAGAACACGTTTCTATAAACCTTGTTTCCGATCTGACTGTATTAAGTGGCCGGTAGTTTTTGCATATACTGAGGAGATATCTATATCTGGTTTTGGTGAATAATATGGATTAGAGATCCATAATATATAGAAAAACTACAAATAAGAGTTTGTGATGAATAGAAGTTCGTAAGCCAAAATGTCATAACAAATTCTTAGTATTATATAGTTACAATTTTCGTACAAAATATACAAATTTTCCTAAGTACTATCTATAATTTTCTTACAAAATAGTTCAAACACTATCGACCAGTTAATACAGTCACAGAGACGTGGTTTATAGAGTCATATTGTTGGCCAATTTGGTTGGCCTCATCAGTAGAAAAATCTCTCCAATGTGTAAAGCCAGGTTGCTTTGGCTGTGGAAGTTCCATGATATCGTTAGCATCAAGCATGGAGACCAATGTCAAAATTGTTGGCCTATCTTCTGGAAATTCTTGCACACATATTAACCCCAATTGTATGCATTTCAGCATCTCACTTTGATAGCACGGATCAAAAACAGTTGGATCAATCAACGAAAGCATATCGTTCCTGTTCCACATCTTCCATGCCTAAGCAATAAAGTGAATTATTAGCTGCCTTGATTGAAATAATAGCAAGGGTATAGACTATTTGAATAGAAATTTAAAATCTTTGTATGACATACATATGTTAAAAGGCTTAAACACTCGAATTCAAGAAATTTGTTGTTTTTTCTACCACTGACAATCTCTAAAAGTATCACTCCAAGACTAAATATATCCGATTTTTCAGAAAAGCGGCCTTCCATAGCATACTCTGGAGACATGTAACCACTGCAAAGTGCAAACGAGTGACAAAACCGTTGTTTTGATCAATTTAAGATAAATGATGGCCTAAACTTAGCTGAGTATATATGATGCTAAGTAGCTTACTAAGTGCCGACAACCCTCAAGGTGTTAGGCTTGATTTTGTTTTGTCCCGAAGATCCTTGCCATTCCAAAATCTGATGTCTTCGGATTGAGCTCTTCATCAAGCAAAATGTTACTTGCTTTAAGATCTCTATGAATAATTCTTACCCTTGAATCTCTATGAAGATAAAGAAGGCCTCGACATATCCCATTGATGATGTTGAATCGCTTCTTCCAGTCTAATTGTTTCTGGTAATGTGGATCTATGTAGCAGTACATACCAATAATAGCTTATTAGATGTTGAATAGTATTGTAACCTAGGAGAATAGAAAAAGAACATGAAACAAGGAGAATAACATGATCCAACAATTTTATTTTGCATGATCCAACAATTTTAATAATAGCAGTACTAATAAAATTGTTGGATCATGCAATAAAATGAAACAAGAAGAACAGAAAAACTAACTTTTGAACGTATCAAAGAGAAGCGCGTCTAAACTCTTATTTGGCATGTATTCGTAGACTAGTAATTTCTCTTCTCGTTGTACACAACAACCCAACAGTCGGACCAGATTATTGTGTTGAAGTTTCGAAATCACAAGCACTTCGTTCATAAATTCCTGTAGGCCTTGTCCGGATGCTTTTGATAGTCTTTTCACTGCTATCTCTTGCCCATCTTCCAGTTTTCCCTAAAGATGAAACAATGCCACTTTCAGCTTTATACTCCTTTTGTGTTCTGACAAACACAAAATAATACGAAGTACTATGTTGACGTTCTAATAAAAGCCGTTACCTTGTACACTGGACCAAAGCCACCTTGTCCTAGCTTGTTAGTAATTGAAAAATTACTGGTTGCAACAACCAATTTTTTAAATTTAAACAATACCAAATCTTTAAATTCGTCATGATTTATGAGTGATGATCTCTTCCCTGCAATAACCATATCTATTTGTCAAAATTTCAGGGTAAAACTTAACATATTATAAAGCAACATGATCAATGGTTAGAGCGAAGAGAAGAAGTGTCACCATATCGATAAATCCACCTCCTTAGATAGTACACAAACGTCACACATGTGGCTGTTGCTGTTATTGCTATGAGTGTAGACATTAATGTCAAATTTCTAGTTTCTTCTGGTGATAAAGAAAAAAACCAATACATTGCATCAGCATCTCTTAGATCAGAGAAATTGAGGAAAATGATCAGATGAATTTATATGATGGGATAGATGTAAAGAATGATCAAATGAAGTTATAGATAAATTTTAATATGGGATGGAGGTAAAGAATGATCAAATGAATTTATATGCTTATATAAAAGAAAAGGATACAAGTTGAAGAAATGATCACCTAGTTCGGAATGAGCCAAACGAATGAAGAGATCAGCACCTTCAACAGAGAATTGCTGCAAATCGATCAAACTTGTATTCCATATCATGCACCCAATAAACTTAGAAAATGCACAAGCTAAACACAAACAATTTCCTAAACACTTCATCTTACAGTCATCTTGATCGTCTGCAAGTACCAAATCGGGAAAATCTGGCACTTTTATATTCTTTAGCTTCGAAAATCCATCTAATTTGTCCCCTGTATTACTACTACATTGCAATGGTGACCTTCGAACACACCCACTAGTCCAATTACCTTTGGTCCATTCGTCGTTGTTCTTTGGCTCAAACCCTCTTAAGCATTGACATATTGGTGTCTTGTTCGGGTTACAAATTCCAAATGAACCACACCTCCCATAAATATCACACTCTGACTGATGGGATTGCCATTGAAATGTCCATTTCCGGCTACCAGTATCCCAATATCTCAGGATTAAATTTCCATCATAATTTAGAACACAGTATACAAAATAAGAGTCATTTGCTACATCATATAATATGTCAAGTGTGCCTTCTTTGACATTATTTATGATAGATATTATAATACGAAAACCATTGGAAGCCTCCGTAAACAATTGAGGCACACCAAGGAAGTAGCTGCCACTCCATGGGCCACTTCGCCAATACCGTTTATCACCATCCCAAGTAATAAACTCAGGATAGTCAGGAAGTGAATTAGGAATCATTCCAAGCCTGAACCGTCCATTTGATGGATCTGAAGCGCTTTTCCAAGATCGTAAAACCATTGATGACCCCTCATTCACATCATCCTTGTCTATAGAGATCGTCGTCTGGGGCAAGACTGAATCCGTGAGATGCTCGAAACTCTGCCAAATGATCATCCCAGTAGCACTCGAGAGCAAAACAAGGTTCCCGGTGTCTAGAAGCTGAGCAACTAACGTACTGTTAGCCTGCTTAGATACATTGGTTGACCAAAATATCTCATTTTTTTCTGTTTGACAGTTGAAGATTGCCATCCTCTGATATCTTCAGTACACCAGAAGAGTCATTAATTGGATTATTCCTGTTGGCTACCCACACAACTTTCGTCGAATCAGATTCATCAATATTATACCAGATTCCAGCATAACGTTTTGTTGAATTAATGGGGCTGAAAAACCCGAGCTTGAAGATGGCTTTATCAGACACTAAGACTTCAGGGTCTCTTATTAAGGTGGTAATATTGCTATTTCCTGACACAAATTTCAAGCAAAACCAACAAACAAATTGAAGAGTGGTGAAAGAAATTCCCATTCTTAGAATTTCTTTTTAATTATTAATTTATTTGAGCCAAATGCTGTTACATACTTTAATAATTACATGAACGAGGAATTATGTCCATAAATCTATGATCTACGAGTATTGAAGTAATACATGGTCCATGGTAGCATTCTTAGAACTTTTCTTGTTTTATTTGGGTCATTTACTCAAATTCCCCATGGGTCCGTTGCATGAACAATGAATTATGTCCATGAATCTATGATCTTTAATTCTTCATACATAGTACAAGTAATACTTTTCAATTGTAGCTTATAAGCACACTTCCTCCATATCTTATTAGATAACACACTTTGTTTGATACACAAACAAACATACACACTTTTTATTGACACACGTACCAAGGAGAAGTGAAAAAGAAAAAAAAATGACAAACATACCCTTGTTAGCGTCGTGTGAAGTGCACCTATGTGGGCTTGTTGTGAATATGTGTGGCTATTATATATTGTTGTATGTCGGATCGAGAGGGAGGAAGTAAAGAGTCTGGCCACATGCAAGTTTTTAAGGAACTTGTAACCGTTCAACCATTCATGAACACAGGAAGGTTACACTCCGTTTAGAATTCATAAGATTGATAACTCCTTATTGATCATGAACCATGATTGGATATTCGAAGTTGAAGGTATATACCAGTAAGGAAGACAATAATTATAAAAAAATATTCGTGTTATTAAGATTTGATTAAATTTATTTTGACTTAATTTATATACTAATTTATAAGATAAAAATAATCAAATGAGATATCATTAAATTTGTATTAAATACTATGTATTTTCAAACTTTGAAATTTTCACATTATTTCAAATTACAAAAATGTAGTACATTTAATGATAGTGATCTAATGTAATACAAAGGAATTAAAGAATCTTATCTAATTATTTCTAAAATAAATTGATATGAACGGAATATCAATTAGGCAAATATGTATTTTTTTTTAATAATTATTTTATTTACTAAGGTTGTGTTTGGGGAAAAGCTGAAAGCTAAAAGTTGAAGTTGATTTGTGTTAGCTGGTTTTAAATAGATGACAGTATTAACTGATTTGACCAACTTATTTTATTAGCTTATTGTAGAAAAATGTTTAGTAAATAGCTGATTGTTTAAAGCTGATTGATTATGGCCCTGTTTGGTAGTAAGCTTATTGGGGGCATATTAGCTTATTTGACTAACTTTAGCTGATTGACTAGTCAAACAAGTTAATACAAGTGTTTGGTAGTAAGCTTATTGAAAGAGCTTATTGCACTAAATAACCTCTTTTTTGAAAAAGCTCATTTTAGGAGCTTATTCAATTAACATATTCATTAATTATTGTGAAATGACACTTATAACCTTCATTTAATTTAAAATCCTATCTAAACTACCTACCCTACAATTAGCTTATTGGTCATTTCACATACTCAATTACCTTTAAGCTATTAGCTATTTACCAAACACTTTTATATAATCAGTTAATACAATAAGTTAGTCAAATCAGTTAATAAAATCAGCTAGTCAAAATCAGCTAACTCAATCAGATTCAGCTTTTAGCTTTCTCCCAAACAGGGCCTATATGAAATGACCAATAAGCTAATTGTGGAATAAATAGTTCATATATGATTTTTAATTAAATGGGGGTATAAGTGTCATTTCACCATTAAAATTGAATGGTT